CTAAATAGCTTTCAGCTGAGTAGGTTACTAGGGAAACAGTGGCCTTAGATCAGGGCTGGTAAACCGCAGCCTTGGAGCCAAGCTGCGATACCTTGGAGCAATGGAGAGCAAATAGGGTTTCCTTATACTAGACCTTAGGAGCAGTCCTCTTGCTCCTCCTTGCTGTTATTGTAGTTCATGGAGGAAAGAGAAGCAGCTTTGCTCTTGCTGGCTTTTCTTCAGGTATGCTAACTCCTTATGTGAAAGGGGTTGTGTGAGGACAGAAAGAGGAGGAGAACAATGAGAATATACTCCTGATCCCGGGCCTGCCCCACTTCTCTTCATTGCGGTGGGCCTGCTGGGAGCTCAATAATTTTAGTGGAAGTCCCAACAATTTATTCTACTGTGAGACCAGAATCAAAGGTCTTGGGAAGGCGAAACAACTAGGCTAGAAGAATGGGGGCAGAGAAGAAGAGGGGAAAAAAGAGGGAGAGAGAAAATACAAATGGAAAGAAAGAACAAGAGAGCCTGTGAATTCAAGAGCCGAAGAGTGAAGAGGGATGTAGGAACATGGGTGAGCACTGATACTCCTATCACAGGAGGGGGAAACTAGAGCCAAACAGAGTAGAAGAGGGAAATTCAGGGTGAAAAAGCTGGGAATATCAATGACCTTGTTTGTAAGGGGTATTTGTGGAATGATCTCAATCTTTTCTCCCTTCTGTTACTCCTCCTTTAAGCCTAGTGAGGTGCTGTTTTCTCACTTAGGTGAGTACCCTGTTTCCTTATCCTTTGAGGGAGGGTGGAGTAGAGCCCTGACCGGGGGGCCTGGCACGACGTTTGCTCAGCTCCCCTCCAAACAACAAGGCTGTTAAAAACAGTTGGCAACTCAGCACCTTGTTGCACCCCTACTTTGAGGGAAGCTGCCCAAGTTGGCACCAAATGGCAGAGACATGCTTAGTTGTTCGGTGTGGATAAAAGGTAGTGCCTGAGGACGTTTGGCAGAGGTGCAGAACCACGCAGTTGGAAGACTATAACTTGCACGGGTGGTTGTCACATGAGCCCTCAGACCATGATAGCAGTCTTAAAACTTAACAAAAAAAAATTGTATGCAGACTGATAGTACCACTGTTCCTCTTTCGATGTCAATCAGGATGAAGACCCATGAAGTCAGTGCAATTACCCTAAAGTGCAGATGAGCCTGATTCAGTGACTCTGTGAAAATAAAACATAAAATCCGTAAAGTTATTATTCTTTATACACGTGAACACAGAATGTCACCTTAGTGCTCCAGCTTGCAAGGGTGGGGAAAAAGAAAGAGCCACTGTGTTGTTTGAAGAAACTTTAACTAAATTGTAACTAATCTAATGGTTTGGTTTGCTTTATAATATATGTGATTTGATCCTGTGTAAAATTCTGTTTGACTAATACAGCGCTATCATGTTCCGATAGCACTGGAAGCAATAGACCATGAAAGATCCGCAAAAGAGTAGTGGACAGCCCAAAATAATGATAACCAGATCCTTTTTGCTTAGCACCTTCATTGCTTGCTATCTATCTGAAAGTTTTACACCCATCTCGCTCACTTTATTACTTTTGTTATGGCAACACCTGTTCATGGCACCACTGTTTCAATCAGTGTTTCTGTTACAGCCTCTGTTAAGGTTGGTTCCTAAGGTTGGTTCTTGAAAATATGTTGCGGGTTAAGACTTACCTACAAGATCAGCCCAGGCATTATAGTGGCACTTTTGTTCCTTTGGCTGGGATCTTTTTTTCATTTTGTTTTTTTTTTTAATGTTTTATAAATCTTTTACAAATACTTACATTTTAAGAGAGGAAAGAACATTTGTTACAGTATATTTTTCCTAATTAGGAATTTGCATGAGTCTCACATTTATTCCTGCTAAAATCTCTTGGTTCTTTTATTTTAGGCATTTGGAAAGCATTAGCAGTCATATTGATACTTGCAATTACTATGTATTACTGTGAAAAACGTTAGAGAATATTTTAAAAAATAAATAAAATCCCAATGCTGTTTTGTTTGGCTTTGTGGTGTCATTACTGACACACGCATTTGAAGCTGCGATTTGTGGATCTTTGTTGTGAATTATATTCCAATAGTGTTGCATATTGACTGGAATTACAGAAGTCAGAAAGCACATAAGAAGGGAACAAGGCCTTTTTTTTTTTTTCCATTAAACTAATGCTTACCTGCAAAAATTTTTACTACTACTTTTCACTAGTTAGTTTTTTTCCTAGTAAATAATAGGAACTGTAATTGCACATTAGTGGCTCACAGGAACCTATTGTTGTGACATGTATTTAAACAAACTGTGAATTAAGAACCTCTTTCTACACAGTAATCTAATTATATTGTCATACTACTTAGAGTATTTTGTATTTATATTTGACAACTTTAATTTTCTTTTCATAGTTTACTGAAATAGCTTTCCTCTAGAGAATTTATTCATCTTTTAAGCTAGAATTCTTCATATTTTCTTTCAGTCCAGAAAATGTATAGCAATTTAAAGACTGTCTCAGTCACTTTCAATCCATTCTGTTCATGTCTTTGCCATTAGTTTTTTGTATGCTCTTAGGCTAGCCATTTTAGTGTTCTCTGATTCTCTGTACGAGTCCTGTTCAGTTTACTGAAGAGGTTTTGGATCTATGGATGAAACTGCACTACCAAAATACCAGGTAGTGTCTTATGAATATAAATATAGCATGTTGATAAGTTAAGACTCTAGATTATTTTTATATAGTTAGAGAACAGAAAAGGTTCCACAGGGCTGAAGTTCAGACTGGGAAACAGGCAATAAAACCGTTATCTGTTTACAAAAACAGTATGATGGGCATTTGAGGTAAATTACAGTCTTTAATGTAATGCAAATGCCCATTTAATTTCTGTCCAAATGCTATCTATTCCCAAGCCCCAGAAATTAGTGTTAATAATAAGCAGCTTTATTGTTTGGTGTTAGGTCCATGATGTTTTTTGAAGGTAATTATTTAATAATACTGAAATTAAGCCTGCAAACCTTCATTTGATTCAGTCTTTCCCTGGAAGTATCCACATAAGTAAAGGCTACTATAATGAGGACTAGATTGTTAGTGATTTAATATGATGAACCTAATTAAATTAACTCAAAGAAATTGTGCTGTGGAAACACCAGGAAGAATTCAGTAAGCCTTGATGCGTGTCAGTGATAGTGGTGCACTGGTGGAGCGGTAAAGATTCAAATAAGTTATGTTTCCTCACCTAGGGAGGAGGCAACTTTTATTAAGGGAGACCTGGAAGGGTGTTGAGAAGAGGAATTTACCCAAGATATAGAGAGAAGCTTATGTAGGGCATACTTTGCCCTATGTAGGGCAACTTTGGTTGATCTGAAACATCAACTGCTGGGGGAGTAGAGGGCGTGTGCCATAGCTCAGCTTTTTATGACCGCTAAGAAAAGAGACGCACAGCTGAGCTTTGTGAAGGCTCTAGTCCACTTCACTCCAAAGCTGATGCTGGTGGAAGATTCCTAGAATGACATTTAAATCAGGGAGGAACTAAGGTATGTTTCCTCCTGAGGAAAGCCAGTCTCGTTTGCAATTATCCAAACATCTGGTCAGACAAGGCAGGCATTGTTAATAAGTTTTACCTGCACACATGCTTTGTGGAGCATGGTAGCAAAGTTCCATGATTTAAACAGATTCTTTTGCACAATAATGTATTTGAAGTAAACATAAACTGTTTCATTACAGCACAACAAAATCAAATTTAATCTCACATATCGCTTCAACAGGTGGGAAGATTATGCGTGGAAAAGTCTTACAGAATTAGCACTGATGATTCCAAATTCAAGCTCATAGGAAAAATAGCCTTTCCCTTGTTCTGAACCTCTTCCAACATCTAGCAGCTTCTGTGCTCCAGCTGCTCCCTAATTCTCCATAGGCATGATCACTTCATATTTTCACTCAATTTGTTAGACTTTTTCTCTCTTGCTGTTTCTCTTCCGAAACATAGAGGTAGAGCAGGAAGTTTTGCTCTCTAGCAACGCCTGAACGCTCACCTGAACAGTACTTGGCGCTCTACCTTGTCTATGTGAATCGGCCAGAGGAGGGGAGGCAGCTCTCGTCTCGGTACTTACCTACTGGTGGAGAGTATGTGAGCAAAACGCATCCCTCCTCCAGTGGCAAAAGCGCTGAAGAAAGGTTACAAGCAGGAGTTGGGCAGGTTGGATAACGAACAAGTTGAAACAAGTTGAAACAGAGCACAGCAAGGGGAAGCAGTAAATAAAGAGTATAGGACTCAGCTCAGCAACCAAACATTCATGCTATAGCAGAATGCATTTTATATCAAGCCTTCAGCAGAAGTCTGACAGTTATCAGCATAATTAGAAAAGATCTTTTATGACGTTCCCCTACTCCTTCCTTTCTGCCACAGAAGAACTTTCTCTACAGTGGAATTTGTTGTTCATGTTCCTCCGTTTGTTTGTTTGTTTGTTTGAAAATACTCCCGAGTCTTCATTTGGTTTCCTTTTGGGTGTTTTGGTGAAATCTCAGTGCAATATAAAATGTTTCACTATGATCCTTGGCACAAAATCTGAGGTGAGAGTCTGTCTCCTCTTTTTCTGCCTGCAGGGATTCCAATGCTGAAGATAGTGTTTGCAGGGTACGAGCACCTGTCCTTAATTTCCGTCCCCTTACTCATCTATCATCCTGCTCAGATTCTTCTTGGCAGTCTATTGGTACCAACAATAAAATCTTGGATGGTTTCTAGGCAAAAGGTAAGAATTGCTCTTATTATACATTATATATGTAATATATATACATTATATATATATTCATAATGGAAATTCTGCTGTAAGGAAAAAACACCTAAACACAACTCTAAAATTCTTCAGGTTCCTTGTAGATTCCATGGTAAGGATTTATCTGTTTCTTTACTTCCTTTGCTACAGTGACAGTCACAGTGGTATCAAATTAAAAACCCTGGACTTTATCCCGCTTGGCTTTGAAAAAATTAAAATCCAGAAGTTAGACCTCTGCAGCTAGGTCCTTTCGTAGTAGCAAGCATTCAAATTACAAATTATGCCCAATAAGAATGGTTCAGTCTGTCGTTAATAATTATAGCATTGGACCTGTCTTGGGGACATGTCCACTGTCCACTGGCCTGGGGGACCCTTTGTGAATTGAATAGAAACAGGACTAAATCTTTCAAATGTTTTTTACTTGGTTTCCCTTTACGGTTGCAAGAAGCCTATGAGAGGTTGGTGCATCACATTTCACATCAAAAATATGGCATGGGATGACTGGTAGGATTGTAGCCTATGATCTAGAGTTTTTGGCATTGACATCAGTGATTCAAATTCCACTTAGCTCTGCATTGATTGAAAACATTCACATCTGACAGCCATTCTGTGACCTATATGAAATCATTGCAATGGTTTTGGTCCAGTTCTCAGAGCAGGAGTAACCATCTCACAGAAAACTGGTCCTTACAACTGATTTTAATGCTGTCTTTAACGTTACAAGATGATAAGGATTAAGAGGCTGTGGCAGCTGAAGTAGTCTGTGACCTGTGGGACAGTTGTTCTAGGTGCAGGTTGAGACACATATTGTAGGAAGCCCAGCTCCACCAGTGCTCTGCATTCTCCACTTGTCTGTGGAGACATTTTGTTTTAATCTTCCATGTTTCCAATTTTCAGCCCAGACCAACTAGCTTCACTCCACTGAGGTCACCTTGCTAACTCAAATGCTAAAATTCCCCAAATTTGTAATGTTATGGGAATCTACTTTCAGTTACCTGAATTGTAAAAAGCAGGAAAGCTCCCAGTTTTCAGGAATTGTGTCCAGAAATCCAGATCTTGTTAAGGTATACCCATCTCAGCATCCAAAAATGGATATTTGAGAATCATGTATCATTTCTGGGACTCTGTTGGTCTGAAAGTCATGATAATTTTTTAAAAGTCTTTTTCCAACAGAAATTATCAAGAGACATTAGTAGACCTCAGTAAGGGCTGTGTAAGGAAAATTATGTGCTATTCCTGCAAAAAGATAGCCTGAAGTTGACACCACTAGTGACAGAATTATCCCTGCCATGCTGACTTCTGTTCATCATCTCACTGCTCCCTGCTGCCAAGACAGGGAATGTGGCTGGAGCTCGTCCAGACCTCCCTGATCCTCAGGGGCTGTGATGGCCTATTGGGGCTGCTGTCAGTTGCTGCACATTAACACAGCCTTTGAACAGGGCATCGGGAAAGTCAACCAGTACTGGAGAGATTTAAAGTCCACCAGCACTAGTTTCTTATTCATTAAGCATCAAATAAGCTGTCTGTGCTAATCAGACTGTAACGCTACCGTAAAGCTGCTTTGGGGGATCGTTGTTCTGTTGAAGCCGTTTCTTCACTAGGTCTTCTGTATTATTCACAAATGTTATTTTAATTACTCTTAAAAAAAATCAATGAGGTTGGGTTTGGTACAGTTGCAATAAGTATAATAGAATGTTGTGACTGGATAATGGTCTCCTGCTTTGAAAATAAACATGTCATCATCACCCTTGATGTTTATTTTCTATAAACACCTTGGCTTCACTTTGGCATCTCTCTTGCAGGGGGAGGCGGTTATCCAGTCACAGTACTCAACTGCAGTGACATTCTTACTTAATTATGATAGTACATGTGATCTGCTTGTATGAAATTGAATTTAAATATTTAGAGGTTCAACTACACTGAGGTATTTCTAGTTTGTAAGTATGGCAGCAGAATCTGCCAAACTACAAAGTAAAAAATTGTTTCCCCAAACAAGATGTGGAATGATGTCTCTCTCCTAAGTCTCTTGCTGAATAATATCCAAAAGTTTAATCTTGAATGGCTAGATTTAACAATAGTTAAATGCTAGTGTTTCTGCATGCTGGTGTTTCTGAGGGGAATATAGCCTATTTATTTTTAAAGGTTTGGATTTTTTTAAGGGTTTACATTTGTGCTAGAGTGTTTTCTAAGTAGTGCTTACAAGCTTTAAATGTACAATATTAAAGGTTAATATCTACAGTAGAAGACCCATCAGACTTCATCTCTCAAACTGAAAATTGTTTATTCAGCCAGTCCTCTAGAAACGATAGTCTCTCACCCACCGAGCAATGTTAGCCTGTCAGAGCGTCTCCCCAGAAAAGCCAAGGAAAACAGAGGTTACAAATGTCAGGAACTTCCCTCTCTCTCTGACCGCTTTCCCCTGGCAGGGTCACAGGCTGCTCGCAGCAAATGCCGTCCTCACATACAGCTCCGCAGGGTGCTCATCACTTAGCATAATTATTGATAGTAGCTGCAGAAGTACCCTAGGGGAATAGGTGACCTCTCAGGTAATGCATTGAAAACACTTCCTACTTTTCATTATTTCCCTGCGACACTTCATGCTGCATTAAAGGCTAATCAAAAACTTGCGTGTACCTCTGTGGACTTGTGGGGTGCACTGTGTGAAACACACCGCTGTCCACCTCCAGGTCCATCTCACACCGTGCAGGCTGCGCTGCTCTAGTACCATAGGAAAGAGGCATAAGAAAATACTGAGCTTTTCTTGTGCCCTTTTCCGGAGCACACCAAAAGAAGGCATCCTGCACAGTTGACCACATCAGTACACAGGAGAAGCTGAGAACTAAACACCTTTTAAGCCTGTCACACAGATCTTCTAAGTTAGAGAAGCTTCTTCCTGCTAAACTAGAGACATGATCACCTATCGTTTGAGTTGAACCTCTGTCACATACTGAATAGTTCATCTAGCTTAATTGACCAGACCTGAGGGGAACACAGAGCTGGATCTTGCCGTTAAAGTAAAGGCATGTGGTTTCTCTCCTCTGTGTAAAAATGTTCAATAAGAGTGGAGTCCAGCTACAGCCATTTTAAACCTACGAGAACTTCAGATGTCACCTGGCATAAGATTCTCTCTGGCGTGGTGGACTTTGGCTTACTGTTACCTTTTCTCCGAAAGGAAGGCATAAACATTGCAGGTGCTTGACGTTCACCACTGCAGCAGTGACTATACTCTGAGCAAGCTTTGAGCCATGTGAAAGGAGGCCAGAAAACACAAAGATGTTTGTGGAAGTTTTCTTCACAGTCTTTCCCTAACTAGGTCAGAAGCTGTTGTATCCATGCCACAGGTGGTTTTTTGAGTGGGGTCCCAATAGTTGCTTTCTAAAAGACATCTGAGACTCATCTCAGATGAGTGCTGTGTTCCTAAGGTTTCCTTGTTAAGACTATCTGTATAGGAGGTGGTTGTGATGGGCTACCAGAGAAATTATCATTACAAAACCTGGATCATTACAAAACCTGGAGTGGTCTGTCAGCTGCATGCTGATACCTCACTCAGCCTTGCAGAAGTACATGGAGCATTTTGTCACAACTAAAATAAAAAGCTTGTCTTGTGTTGCTGGTCTTTTTTTAAGAGTGCAAAAAAGTGACCGTTTTCTTTACTATTCACAGGCACTGAAGTTAACCAGGCAGCCCAAAGCACCCGTGAAGGTATAACAGTGGAGGTGGCCTGTGTCACAGTGAATGTATATATGTACTATACTGTACACACAGACAATTGAGACAACTGGATATCTGTGAATGTTGCTTTAGTGCATATTTTATTTTTATACACACACACACACACGTTAACCAGGCAGCCCAAAGCACCCGTGAAGGTATAACAGTGGAGGTGGCCTGTGTCACAGTGAATGTATATATGTACTATACTGTACACACAGACAATTGAGACAACTGGATATCTGTGAATGTTGCTTTAGTGCATATTTTATTTTTATACACACACACAC